CTATTTCAAAAATAGCAAAAATTAGATGGGCCATTTTGCCAGCGCTGTTACGATATGATACCAGCGCAGTTACGATATGATGCCACTTTTCGTAATGGTGTAAAGCAGGGTCTTCCACTAAGCGGTGGGTACGAGAGCCGGCCGAATGGGTACGAGAGGCGGGCGAAAAGAATCCAAGCAGTGACACTGAGCTGTTCTTTGATTTTGTTTTTGTTTTTGTTACAGAAAGGTTGCATCTATTTTTTAAAAATTCAAGAGAAAAGAACGACTCTTCGTCGCTGCTTAGAATTTTTCTCCAGTAGTTTTTCGCCTCTGCACTGTGTGTGTGTGTGTGTGTATTTGTGTGTGCCTGCGTGTGTGTGTGTCACTTTTCATGGATTGGTCCTTTTATTGTTTATGAATGTTCTGGTCATTGTCTTAACGGGCACAGCTGTGGCTGGGTTGGTTGGTACAGCGGTGTCCACCATACAGCCACCCTCTATCTACTAACTGAAGTGTCTTTAGGCTATCCCCAAAGGGGGGACATTATCATGTTCTTATGCACAGTAGAATCGTATAATATGGGCTGATTCAACGTCATGCTCATAACTGCCTGAACTGCGACAAGGAACTGCTGTTTTTTCTTTCCTGATATCATCCTTACTATCGTCATTTTTCCTCTACTTCTTTTGTATGTTTGTCACACTCCTGTGACCCGCTATTTCCGGGGTGCCTTGATAGTCGAAGCAGACTTTGTGCTGTTGAGGCTAGAGAGGTGAGCAGAGTAAGCTTGATTCCGTGTAAAGACTTCTCTGTTGACACCCACCCCTTGGCGCTCATATGACCTTATGAAGTTGTGAGCGAAGTAAAACTGAAAACCTCTATTAAAACAAACAAAACAAGCAGTTTTTTGTTTTTTTTAAAGCAGAGGGTTAGCAGAGGGTTTTACGAGGAAAATGACAATAACAAGGATCAGGAAAGAAAAAGCAGCCGTTCCCTGTTGCAGATCAGGCACAGTTATGAGCGTGACATGATGAATCAGCCCATTTACAATTCTACTGTGCTTGAACAAAAAATGTCCTCCCTTTGGGAATGGTCTATAGACACTACAGTCAGTGGCACTGCCCCGTGGGGTCACTACAGTCAGTGGCACTGCCCCGTGGGGGTACACTCCAGTCAGTGGCACTGCCCCGTGGGGGTAAAGCAGGTTTTGGTGGCTGGGAGACGAAGATTGCTGATAGGCTGCTAGCTGAAGGTTGCTCTTAGGTGGAGGTTGCTGCTTACTGGATTATTTTGTTGGGGGGGGGGGGGGGGGTTGAGTGTGTGTGTGTGTGTGTTTAGTTTTAGTAAGAGTTTTACGGCACTTGCAACACAATAAGGTCATATAAATAAAAGTGCCGAAGATTAGAGGTGTTACAAGAGAGTAACAAACATAAAAAAGAAGGAGGAGAGATAAAGACGATAGATGTTTGATAGGAAAGCAGGAGCAAACCCCACCAGAGCACCCGCCAACCACCCACCGTTGCTGTAAGGCGGAGGTTGCTGCTAACCTGATTTGTTTTGGTGGGGGGAGGGGGGAGGGGGGGTGAGTGTGTGTGTGTACGTGTGTGTGTGTACGTGTGTGTGTGTGTGTGTGTGTGTGTGTATAAACTTGAAAGATAATGTTATGTGGAATATACAGAGAAGTGCTGTGGATTCTGCTACTCACTATGTGAGGCATGAGGGGAAATCTGGTGCTCGTCAATAGAATGAAATCAAAGAACTTTTTTAAAAAACCGTTGGTCAAATTTTTTCCATTTAATTAATAAATTAATTTCTTTTTTTGCTCAACACTTTTCATGCCCATTTAAAAACACATTTCTGAGTGTATTTTACTGAACAACGTTGACCAAAGGCTCCAAAAGTGTAAATTTGTTGTTCCCAAGGACTCTCTATGGACGTCACCAAACCTTGGTGGACATTTTCTCACTAATTTTACCTCTGAATCCAGGCGACTCCCAACTCCAAATGTCTCCACGTCTTTTCAAGATAGATGGGGGATTTTTTTTTTTCATGGAAAACAAAACAAATGAACAGGCTTCAAGATGATACCATTATCTCTACACGCCCCCAAGTTTCCCCCGTGGCAGTGCCACTGACTGTAGTGTCTTTAGGCCATTCCCAAAGGGGGGACATTTCTCGTTCAAGCATAGTAGAATTGTAAATGGGCTGACTCATGTCACACTCATAACTGTGCCTGATTTACAACAGGGAACTGCTGCTTTTTCTTTGCTGATCCTTACTATTGTCATTTCCTCTACTTCTTTTGTATGTTTGTCACTCTCTTGTGACCTGCTCTTTCCGGGGTGCCTTGATAGTCGAAGCAGACCTTGTGCTGTTGAAGCTAGAGAGGTGAGCAGTCTAAGTCTGATTCCCTGTAAGGACTTCTCAGTTGACAACCACCCCATGGCGCTCATATGACCTTATGCAGTTGCGAGCGCCGTAAAACCCTCTACTATAAAAAAAAAATGCCCCCAAATTGACAAGCGCCTGATTTCAGCCCGTCGTGCTACGTCTATGTGTGTGTATGTTTGGTTGTTAGCCTGTTTATCTCCGTGGACCGAATAGTTGTCTGTCTGTGGACAGACTAGTTTCCTGTTGTGGAGTTGTACAAGTTGTGGATGGGTGCGGAACGTGCTTAACACATTATACCCTAAGGGTCTGGTCTGAACGGGAAGCCTTATCTCCAAATCCTGTGCAAGGGGAAGCAACCCACCTATGTGAATACAAGCATTTAAAAAACTCATTTAAAAAATACTAAACAAGTTCCGACAATCCTGAATAAATAAAAATTAGAAAGAGAAATGAATATAGTTTGTGTTGTCCATCCCAGTTATTCTTTGTCTTCCTCTGGCTCTCCTGACCCTCATCCTGCCTTCTCTTTAGGCCATTCCCAAAGGGGGGACATTTCTCGTTCAAGCCTAGTAGAATTGTAAATGGGCTGACTCATGTCACGCTCATATTCATAACTGTGCCTGATCTACAACAGGGAACTGCTGCTTTTTCTTTCCTAATCCTTACTATTGTCATTTTCCTCTACTTCTTATGTATGTTTGTCACTCTCTTGTGACCCGCTATTTCCGGGGTGCCTTGATAGTCGAAGCAGACCTTGTGCTGTTGAAGCTAGAGAGGTGAGCAGTCTAAGTCTGATTCCCTGTAAAGACTTCTCGGTTGTCATCCACCCCCTTGGCGCTCATATGACTTTTTATGCAGTTGCGAGCGCCGTAAAACCCTCTACTATTTTTTTTTAAAATCTGCCTTCAAGCCCCTCTTTCACAATGGTCATGTGGCGTTTGAAGTGGCCATAGTGTTGTGTTTCCATATTCTTTTATTGAGCAGGGTTTGTCTTTGTCTTGTGTGTAGAATCTGACACACCTCTTTGTTTGTCTTTGTCTTGTGTGTAGAATCTGACACACCTCTTTGTTTGTCTTTTTTGTTTTCCAACTTCTTCTGGCCGTTCTACGGTAGCACCACATTTTAAACGCAGCTGTTTTGATTTCTTTCTTTGTCAAAGTCCAGGTCTCAGCGCCATATAGGAATATGGGGAAGATGTAGCATTCCAGCATTTTCTTTTTTAAGGTGAGAGATAGTTGCCTGGATTTGAAAAGTTTGTACGTTTGTCTGAATCTTGTTTTTGCATTTGCCGTTCAACAGTTTTTATGCTTTTTTTTTTCTTTCATTTCTTTCATCTTTTGTGACCTTTGTCCTGAGATATTTGAATTTATTGGCATAGTTGTTCGATTCTCTCCCCATGTATGGTTTGGTTATGTCTGTTGTTTTTCCAATTGTGAGGCAGCGTGGTGGAATCAGGCTCTTGTCAATTTTTGGGTATGTAGAGTTATTGGTATCATCTTAAAGCTTATAATATTCACTTGTCTTTATTTGGATGAAAAAAGTATCCATTTATCTCGAATACAAGTCGAGATATTTATGAAAGAAGGAGGCAGGGGTCACCTGTTTTCAGAGGTAAAATTAGTGAGAAAATGGCCGCCAAAGGTTGGTTATTTTCTTAGCTTAAGAGTCCGTGGTAACTGAAAATTTACATTTTCTATGCCTTTAATCAACGTTTATAAAAAAAAAACTCACAGAAATGAGTTCTTTAATGGGCATGAAAGGTGTTGAGCCAAAAAACAAAAATTAAATAAAAATTCTCAAACCTGCAGAAAAATGCAAGTTTCTTTATTTTGATTATTTTGACGAGAGCCTGATTCCACCACGCTGCCTCATAGTTGATTTTGACATGACCATTGTTTTTGTTTTCTTGGCGTTCATGTTGTGGTTGGTACTCTGATGTTGTTCCTTCTTTCCTTTCATCAAACGTCTATCGA